GGCAACGACTGCAGGCGTGACTGTGCTACCAAACCCATCAGCTGCCTAATTGCCATTCCGCTTGCGTTTATTTCTGCTAATTAAAAAAAAAAGAGAGGAACTCCTAGTGACTTTTACGTAAATACTGTATTTGCTCTATGTAGAGACGGGATTCAGACTCCGCTGGCGATTAGCTGATTGTGTCTAGTCTTGTGGCCGTCACACGCCAAGTGTTCGGAGGGCCTGTCTGGGGGACCATGGGGGGTCACCGGGAATGTCAGTGATGCCATGAGCGCTTGGTGGGCTGCAGTCTGACTAATGGAACTGGGCGGGGGGGAACCCTGGCCCGATGCCTCTATACATACTCTCCCCACCTGGACGGAGGCCGCCCCCAACCCCCCATGACAAACCCGCACCCTGCCCGGGCCTCGCAGACTGATGTACCAGGAAACAGGTGCGAGGCTGGATTTTACATTTTTGATATTATGTATTTATTTTCATGTGGATTAGAAAATATGTATAATTAGTATATGAGACCCATGATTTGGCAGATGATAGTGCTTTAGATGAGGCTAAGTAAAAAGAAGGTGATTGGCTTAAATAATGATTAAAATAATGATACATAAATTATTAAGGTGGAACACGGATGGGCGGGCTTGCAGTAAGCTGGTGGCAGAGGAAGGAACCCATTGAACGAGCCTGAGTGACGGCGACTACCAAGTCAGAGCCAGGCCCCGACATTGGAGGTTCCGAGGCCTGAGTCCTGCCTGCTGTCCCCTAGCCTATAGATACCCTGCCTCATTCTAGGGGCAGATGGCACTCCTGGATCATTCCAGAGTCTCCCTAACAATATTCCACAAGCAGTAAACCACCCTCCACACACACACACAGAGAAGAAAAATAGAACATAAATGGGAGGACCTATGTCACTTAACACAGAGCAGAAGCCTATGTCCTGGCTTCCCTAGTGTTGTAGGTTGTAGACAGGAGAGGCCAGTGTGCCTCTGGATGGCCTCCTACTATCTGTCTGTCTCAAGACACTAGGGCTGGACAGCTCCAAGGCTCTGGTGGCTTCCAGACAGGGTTTCCATTCCTGCCTGCTGAACGGAGAGACCTTCCTCCTCTGTTTGGTGGGAGATGGTGGAACTGAGAGACATTGGAGAATGGGGTGCAGAGTGCTCCTTGGAATGAGTTCAGCTCAGCCATGGTATACAGTGGGTCCTGGCTGGACCACCCACCTCCTGATAGGACCGCAGTGCCTCCAGACATTCTAAGTTCATCAACTCTCCGGTGGTCTTGGAGGCCTTAGGGGCAAACGGGAGACAAAAGGAAAACCAAAGGCGTGGCGTGAATGGCCAAAGACACTGGCCACACTGCCTCCTCCTCTCCTTCCTCCATCCGCCACTAGCTAGCCTGTTCCACCATCATTTGGCCTCATGACACCCCCCCCCCAGGCTTCCAGCAACCCTCCCTAGCTGCAAACCTCTCAGGAGCTCAGTGCTACTGCAGGCTGGCCACCCTCGGACACTATTCTCCAGCAGCCTCCTCTTACCCGGGACATGGGGCAGTCGGGCAACATGCTGGGTGATCTTGAGCATCCCCCTCCTCCACCCACTAAGATATTCCTGGTGCCGGCCCAGCCCGTCTCCGAGGCTTCTCCCAGTCCAAATCCCTGTCTACCTGCCCTGGCAAGTAAAGGCAGTATCCATTTCTGCCTACGCAGAAGACCCAGCGTGGTTGTGGCAGTGGCGGTGGTGGTGGTGGGAATGTTCACTTGCTGAGGTGTTGGTGCTGGGTGGCATGAGTAAATGATTTCATTCATGAGTGAATGCATGAATGGGTGAGCATACTTAACGTCCACCCTTGGTCGCTGCCGTCGCCACTGGAGTCTCTCCAGCCTCTCAGAGCAGTGGCCGAGAGGACTGGCCAAGGACTGGCTGCGAGGCACAGTGCCAGCCTGTCTGGGTTCATATCCCGGCTGTGACCTTGAGCTGGTCTCTTCTTGTCTCTCTCTGTTTCCTCATCTTTTAAAATGGGTACGGTGTGTCCTTCCTAGGGTGTCATGAGACTAAAAGAACCGGTTGACATAAAGTGCTTGGAATGGTGCAGCAAAAGGCCCTCTAAAGTTAGCTGTCGTTAGCAGTTTCATTACCACTATGATGGAGTCTTGGAGTCCCTGGGAGCTTACGGGATGTTGCAGGGTTAGAGGAGCGCAGCAAGTGTAACTGGGAGCTTTCATTAGAAGCATCTCTGGTAAGTTGTTGAAAGATGCTTCGTCAGAAACAGGTCCGTTCCCCGCTCCCCCGGGACCCAGGAGTTTGTTACGATCTTTCTAGCTCTGAATAATAGACAATTACAGTTTGACGTGTTTTTCAAGAGGTCCTCCAAAGTTGCATAAGCTTCAGCCGAACTCTGTGGATCTGAACTGCCTGCTTCCGTGTGTCCCCCCCGCCCCTGCAGTGGTCCCAGCAGGAGGGGGCACTGTCCACCTTCAGAGGGGTCTAGTTTCCTGGCCTTAGACACCATGCCGTGTAGGCTGGCCTCTTACATGCGGTTCCCCAGCCCGAGAATGGCCTGAAGGGTTCCAGGCAGCTCACTGAAAGAAAGGGCTGTCTTCCTCGCCCCTGCCAGAATATATCTCCTGCCAGGGACCTGCAGCACACAAAGCCCTTCTGAGCTGACGGCTCTTACGTGCAGGATGAGGTCCACCTACTCTCTCTCCTCCCCTGTGTAGGCCCTGGTGCGTGGGCACTACAAGCCAGTTAGGCTCTGGGAAACAGGTTGCCGAGATGCACAGTTATCACTGGCTGTGTGCCAAGTCGAGGGTTGAGTGCCAGGTCAGGGGCTCGGGACTGGCCCTACCCTCAAGGATCTCTTTGGTCACCAAGAGCAGAGGATTCTCACCTGAAGGGTAAGGTACAGACAGGAGAAGATGGGGTGAGCCCCCTTATTAATAATCTCAGATTAAGAGGTACAGAGAGCCCATAGTTCATGCGGGCCCAATGGGTTTTGGAACTAGCTCCAGAGGACAGACTGTTAGCTGGGGAAGACCCCTGGGTGGGCGCTCTGGACACTTGCTGCCTCCGGCGGAGCAGGGCCTCTAGACCTTGCTCTGAGAGGGACATTTATAACTCACAGCTGTGCAGTCCTGAGCCCAACTGACTGTGGTAAACCGATCTGGCTTCAGGAAGTCCCAACCCAAGGCCACTCCCAACTCGACCCCACATTCTCCTCACCTCCTGACACCCACATCCTGTTCTCAGCAGGAGGGCAGGCAGTGGGGCCCAGCCAGGGTCTCCAGCTGCAAAGCACCAGGATGGTTCTAGAACTGTGAGGCCACCAACATCATCAGGGCCTGTCCCGAAGACAAATATATAGGGATATCAAGGTCAACAGAGGGCTGGTGCCTGCCCCAGAGTCCGCAGGATCAAGGATCAGGAGTGCTGGTTGTAGGAGGAGAGGCATGCTTGGGGCTCCCAATATAATTCAAAGAGAGGTTGATGCTTCTAACCCCGTTGACCACTGGAGCTGCAGGGAATGCTGGGAAAAGACACTATCTTGGATCCCAGGCTTCTGCATTGCCCCCTTCATTCTGTTACTGCAGTCTCTGGAGGCCCTATACCATCCCCTGAGACTGTGTGGGGCTAGGCATAGGCTGGAAAGAGAGAGAGGATGCTGCTGCAAGCTTCCAGCCCTCTGTGGCCTTGGCTCTGTCACCTCCATGGCCCCGATGCTTGGGCCAAGCACTCACTTCTGTGCCATGTTGTTCCCTACAAACAGAACTGAGCCGGGCGGTGGTGGCGCACGCCTTTAATCCCAGCACTCGGGAGGCAGAGGCAGGCGGATCTCTGTGAGTTCGAGACCAGCCTGGTCTACAAGAGCCAGTTCCAGGACAGCCTCCAAAGCCACAGAGAAATCCTGTCTCAAAAACAAACAAACAAACAAAAAAGCAGAACTGATTCACTGTAGTGCCTTTGCAGGAACTTGGCCTAGGAAACTCTGGAAGTTTATGACCAGATTCTAAACCCAGAATGAGAAACAACGTGTAATTTTTTGTTTCATTGGTTACACATCTGTTAATGTATACCAGAAATGCATTAGAAATGCCCCCCCACTATATACCACACCCGTTCCTTTGTGGCTCTCCTCTGCTTTAGACTGCTTCTAGAGGGCAGGGAGATGGAGACAGACAGGTGGATCCCTGCGGCTCAACAGCCTGCCAGCCGGTCTAGCTGAATTGGCGCTCTCCAGGGTCAGGGAGAGACCCCGCCTCAAAGACACACCACGGAACACCAGGTATGGTGGTGCACACCTTTACTCCCACCACTAGGGATGCGGAAGCAGGCAGATCTGAGTGAGTTTAAGGCTAGCCTGGTCTTCAGACTAAGGTCCAGACCAGTCAGAGCTTCGTGGTAAGGCCAACATCTCAGAAGCAAACAACTAAAAAAGATGCAGAGCGGATGGATGCAGAAGACGCTTTTCACACACACACACACACACACACACACACACACACACACACACACACACATACATGCACGCACACGCACACACACACGCAGAAATTAAACAGATAAGAGCCGCAGAAATGGCTCAGGGCATAACAGCATACACTGCATGTCCAGAGGGACCGACTTTGCTTTCCAGCCCCCACATCAGATGGCTCACAAACCCCTATAGTACTAGCTCAATTATTCTGTCCCCCAACCTCCATGGGACCCTGGATTCATGTGCACATACCCACGCAGAGGCATGCAAAGTGGCTTATGGGAGAGCAGCCCCATGCATCATGCAGACTCTGGATCTTGGAGCCATTCTTACTCCCTTGAGGTGATCCTCAAGGCTCTGTACAGTGACATCACCAGGGGGTGAGGAGGGCCGGGTAATAGTTCTGTGGGCAGATGCTCTTGGGATGGGAGACGGCATACACCGGAATAAAACTGACCCGCTGTCCCGCAGTGGTGATTACGCTCTCAAGGAGACGTGGACGTGAGGATACCACGTGGCAGGGGATGGTGGTGTTTTGTTTTAGCATTTATTTGTTTACTTGTTTGTCTGTTTACAATTGGGGGGGTTGGCATTTGCTCAGGTCGGCATACATGTGGATTGAACTCAGGTTGTCACTGCAGGCACCTTTACACTCTAAACTAGCTCACCTGCTTGAGCCTGGGTTCTAAGAAGTGAAATGCAGGCAGAAAAGAGAGCCCATGCAGCATGGGCAGGGGGCCCTGATGGTTAGTTAAGGGAGGCCTCTTATGAGCTCGCAGACTAGTACAGTGGAGGGATGGTCTCAACAGGGGACAACAGAGGGAATTAGAGAGGTGGAGGCAGCGGGAATCATTGAAGACTTGTTGCCAGTTTCCAAGAGAGCTCTGGTAAGCTTGGGACTGGGGGTATTGGGGAAAAGGTGAGCAGCAGTTGCGTCTAAGTGTTCCTGAAGTCCTGCATCAACCTTGCTGCGGACTTAGACGGAGGATCCTATGAATCAAGGATGCTCAGGGCAGGCTGGTGTGTTTGGAACAGAGCCAGAGAAGGAGAGTGTCATTTTTGTCAACCCCTGGACTGCTGGGAGTACAGAGTGCCCCCCCCTGGAAGGCACGTTGCCCTGGATGGCTCTGGATGGGTGGAGTTACTGTACCTCTGAGCCACAAAGAGCCAAGCCAGGAGGCAGCTAGACCTGTGGCTGGAAGATGCACAATCGGGAATTGTTTGTGATCGGTGTTGCAAACTCGGCAGCCGGTGAGGTCACCCTGAGAGAGAGAGAGCTTGTTGAGAGTGTGGAGTCTAGGAGTCTGAGTCTGAGTCATAGCCATCTGGCCCTGGGGGTAGGATCACAGATAGGGAGGGGACAGGAATGGATGTCAGGAGGGCGCAACCAGAGAGGCTGGGGAGAACAGAGTCAGCGCTAAGTGGACAGGAGATGTCACCAGGAAAGCTGGGAAGAGCAGTGCAATTCAGAGGGAGCAGGGGACGGACACACACAAAGGCTCAGAGGTCTTAAAAAGGAAGCAGGATTCGGAGAAAGCTGGTAGGGAGAAGGGACCAGAGCCTTCTGATACACGGGTGCGGAGGATCCTAGGTGTCCCGTTGGACTGCTGGTGAGCCTATGTCCTGGTCTTCCGTCCCTCTGGCGAGGCCCATCTAGGGCTCTTGGGTCCATCAAGGTTACGTCCCTTCCTGTAGTACTTGTCCAGAGTACAGGACTCAAGGAGACAATTCGAGGGAAAAACAAGAACAGCCTCCTGTTGTATCCCTGGGCAGGAGCAGATCTTTTCTCTTTAAAGAGAGAACCACCTTCTGGGGCTGCTGGAGAGTTGCACTGCCGGCCCAGGAGTCATGGCGCTCTGCCACAGTCAGGGGACTGTTTCTATCCTGTGACCATTTTCTGCCCTTACCTAAGCTCTCTGCCTGACCTAGTGTGTGCCCGCTGGGCCAGAGCAAGGCTGGTGAGACACCAAAAGACACTTGTAACCTCGCATGTACTCTCTCAGCTCCTGGACACTCCCTGTTGGTGTTCAGGACCGGGGAGCAGAGGTTCCCACCTCCATTCCATGGCAGGACTTTGAAAGTTCCAATTGCCCCATGCTGGACCCAGCACGCTGAGAGTCCCTGAGCCATCTCCTTTCTCTCTAATGACCCTGCAGCTCCCTCTTGTGCCTCAGGGCAGATGGGCCGGGCCGAGGGGACAACAGCGGGTCCCCAAGAGTGTTTGGAAGTGCAGTTGAAGCTGTGAGGTTGAGAGGGTTTGGGGGGCGGACCAGTAACATCTGCAGTACATCAGAGCATCATGGAGGAACTCCTTAGAGAGGAGCACTGTCCTGCCTGTGGGCTCAGCAGGGCAGGGGCTTTGGACAATAGACCGAAGGGGGGGGGCACAGGCACAAGGCCAGCCCCCAGCAGGAGCTGACCCTGGCAGGGGTGGTAGGCTGCTTGCTGGCTTCTGGCATTTCTCAGTCTGAGAACGGGGTAGAGCCTAGATGAGGACTTGGGAGTGAGTGAGAGGAGGTGCCCCATGATTCTGCATTAGGATTAGGGGAGCCAGCCAAGACCGCTTTGATGCTACGGGGCTCTGTGTCGCCTCTGTGGCAGGAGTCTAGGGTAATCTAATTAACGTGCTCTGCAGTAATCCTTAGGGCCTTCAGACTCACTTTCTTTAAGCCCCCTCCACCTGTCCCAGTCTTAATCCTCTCCTGCCTCAGTGATCTCTGGCAGGGTTGGGCTTTATCGCCATTAAACAGATTGGTAAGCCAGGGTTCGGAAAGACAAAGTGTGTAGGATGTCACAGCTAATTTGTCAGGGAGGCCCTTTGAACCTGAGCTATAAGAACCCAAAGTCTAGGAGCTTAAAACAAACCCTACCATCTCCCTCGTTCTTCTAGACTATCCAGGCATAAACCCCCTTCCAGCATCCTCATTGCGGGGGGAGGGCGGTAAGAAAAGGGGAGCCCAGAGAAGGCACAGCATTTTCCAAGAGCCACACAGCAGCCAGTCAGGTCCAGCATCGAGAACCACACCTGGCAGGCACCCCGCTCCCCAGAAGACACAGAAGCCCCCTGTGAACCCTGCCCACCACTGCCCACGGCACCCGCTGCACTAAGCTCTCCAGCAAACCCTCTCCTTTTGAAGGCACCAGTTCCGAACCCCAAAGCTTTCCAGTGCCCATTGTTTAAATATAGATTACTAATGAAATGCTTTCTCTTCCCCTTCCCAGTGAATAGTTGTGTAAAGTTAATTTGCAGTGTTATGTAAATTCTGTTTAACTTCAATCAAGTTTCTAATTATGTTTTTACCGCAGTAATTCCCATTTGATTTGTCATCTCCCGTTAGGTGTTTAACGTTCGGTGGGCAGGCTCGCTTTCTGCCGTCTCTCCCATTTTCCAGCACCCACTTCCCTGCTGACCTGCCCGCCCGTCCCCGCCTCCCCCTCCCCATGCTCCTCCGCTGCTCTCCTGCTGTCTGTCCATCAAGCCCTCTTTCCCTCCTCATTCACCCTTTTTTCTCTTGCTCACTCTTTGAGTCATCCCCTCCTCCTCCTCTTCCTCCCCCACCTACCCACCAGCTGTTTCTCATTCTTCCAGGCCCTTCCTCACTCTGTGTCCAGCATCCTCTGCCCACTCAGGTATCGTTCTGTCTCCCCCATGTGTCTCCCCCATCCTTCTTGGTGGCCCAGTGAGTGTTTCTCCTTCTTTGAGTCTTCTCTCTCTGTTCCTCACTCCCGTTCTCCTTCCCCTGGCACCCCTGAGCCATTATAAGACACGTGTAGGGGCTGCTTCCCAGGGTCCCCAACACTGAGGAAAAGGGGTCTGGTCTTGGAAACACGGTCAGTTTATAGGTAAACTGTTCCCAAGGCTGTGGATGGGGGAGCATGGGTAAGAACCATGGGCTCTGACTCTGATAGGCAGCTGTCTTGTTGACATTATTTCTGTGGCCACACCCCCTCACCACTCCTACCTGTGAAGCTGAGTGACAGGAGCCCTCAGACTCAGCCGCTGTGAGGATAGATGAGGTGACTTCCTTGAAGAGCTTGCTAGGGCCGGATGGAGACGGCTTTTATCTGGTAACCCTCAGCCACGCCTCTTACTTTTCTCTGGCTTTCCAGGGTTGCTTTTGTAGGCAGCTTCTAGACCGCTAGGCCCTGGTATCTGGGCTAGGCCTGAGCCAGGGTAGGTGGAAGCTAGCTGCAGGTACTCACACAGCCACCAGCAAGGGCAGAGACAGAATGTAGTCTTGGGCCTGTCTCTGAGATGTCAAAGGCAGAGGTGTAGTTACTAGGTAAGAATAGGTACCCTTGCCTTGGCCTCTAACACCCCCATGCTGTGGACTCCAGCTCCGAAACTTACATGCTGTCACCAAGTCCCTGAGGCTTCTTTCCTGGGCTTTGAGTCCAGCCCCAGCCCTAGCTCTGGGGGTCTCCCTGCTATTTGAGAGTTGCTCGCAGCCACAGAGGGGCTCCCTGGCATGTGTCCGCCGTTAGGGGCAGAGGAAGGAAGGGAAGCAGCAGGCAGGCAGAGGCCTGGGTGGGCATGTGTCCCTCCTCATCCTGTCCTCCTTGTCCCCCATAGTCCTGGCTTTCTCATCCAAGATGGCCAGGAAACAGAAAACAAATGCTTGCAAAGAGCGTTTCTCTAAGTGACGAAAGGCCACTGGTCACTTGTCCTTCGGAAACTCAGAAACCTGAGCTGACCCAAGCCTGCCCTTCTGGGCCTTGTGGCCACCTGACCCAGTAAGTGGCTGTGTGTATGTGTACATACATGTGAGACCAAGGAAACCTTGACCATCACGTGGCTGCTCTTTCCCCTGTTTGTCTAAGTAAGCTGTTCAGGCCAGCTGAAGCAAGGAGGCCGTTTCACGCAGCAGAGGACGGAGGACAGGATCCGTGGTGCAGTGTGAAAGGCCCTGAGCCGGGTGTCAGAGTTCCTGGGCCACTGGGCTAAGTGGGGGAGGACTGTGCTGGGGCCAGCCCTGCATAGACCCTTTCCACCAGGCTCTCCAGCCTCCCCTTGGTTCATCTGACCACAGAAATCCTCCCGGCCCCCCCAGGCAGAGAGGCTGGTATCCCTGGCAAGGCAGAGCTCCAAAAGGCAGCATTCCAGACAGAGGCGGGGGTGGCGTATGAAAGCCACTGTTACCCCAGTCCCGTGCTGCAGATTCCTGACCTTAGCTTTCCCACATGAACCTAGAAAGCCTCTGAAGGTGTGTAAAGTACCTACTGTGAGGCAGGCCCTGGTCCGTGAGGAGGTAAGGAGTTTCTTTGGGGAACCCTGTGTCTGACATGTTTCCTTCCCGTTGGGGGATTGAAATCAATCCTCTCCCACTCCGAGGAACCCCCCATGACCTTGTCGTGAGATGACCTGTCCCATCTGCCGTCGTTCAGGAGACTGAAGCCCCAGTGTTGGGTCAGAGCCTTTACTAAGGGGGGGGTGAGAGTGAGAGACTTGTATTATTCCTCGAGGACTGGAGACTGAGGACCGAGCAGGTGTTTCTAGCCCAGGAGGGCCCTTTCCACCGGGGCTGTGGAGACAGAGCAGCTGCATGCGACTGGCAGATACGCCGGCCAAGATGACCTCTGTGGGACATGTGGGAGCATCTATGAACCCTCCGGGCGGGGAAAGACAGCCCTGAAGTCACTCTGACTGGGCTGTCCTTGGTCTTTACCAGACTATGTTCCCCCGGAAAACCACATCCTTAGAGGTCCTAATTGACAATCAGCGGTGGCCTCCCAGATGGGCCAAAGGGGGCCAAAGAAGGTGAGACCTCTTAGAAGAGACCATCTGTGGCTGGGCGGGAAAGGCACACTTGATACTGGGTGTCAGGGTGCCGAGGTGCGGAGGGCCACCTTAGAGCCCGCAAGGCGTCTCCAAGCTTTGCTTGGGGGTAACATTTAGGGGTACCGTATTCAGCGTGAAGAGGGCAGGTGGGGAACCTCTGTGCAGAGGAAAAGCTGGAGGGTATACCCAGTGTCTGCCATTTTTACCACTCATGGCTGGATGTGGGTCCTGAGCGAGGTGGCTTACAGAGTGAGTGACCAGGCCAGGGCCTTACGGTGCCATCTGGGTCTTATTCCCGACCCTGGCTGGCACACTACAGTTCCAGGGTCGGCCTTCCCCTGCCCACAGTCATCTGGTAGCTCTTTTAGTGTGCTGGTCACCCGCCAAGCCGACGTCTGACCTCCGTCCTCCTCCATCCCACTTGTGTGAGGGGCCACAGGCCATTTGAGCCCCTCCCTCCCAGGCTTCCTGACTCAGAAGTCCCTGCAGTTGAGACCAGGCCTCTTGTCCATAACTGGTAGCCAGAGGGTGGCTCATGCCGGCTCCGCCAAAGCTCAGCGGATTCACCACCCCACCTGTCAGGATTTCCCAGGGCCGGGAAGCTTGCTGCGGCTATGCCTTAGTGGGGAGGTGTTTGGGCTGCCAGGTACAGGCAGGAGAACTGGGCTACAGGGGAGGCCTGGTCTCTCCCACCCTCGGTGAGCAGGGGAGACCTGTGTTGAGGTGGGCTTAGGGGGCCAGCTGGGAGGCCTCTCTCCCTCTGACGTCTAGCAGCCTGATGGAGACCCAATGTAACTGCTTCCCACTGGATGGGGGAGCCATGGGGGAAAGGATCCACCCCCGGGGCACCAACTTCAGTTTTTGACTGTATCCTCAGTTTGGGTGGGTGTGTCCCCAATTCCTGAGCCAAAGAGAGTGGGCTGGGGTCACCAGCACTGCTAGAGTCGACGTGTGCATGGGCGACTCCACGGGCCTCTCCCCGCATGCTACTCGGGTGGTCTGACGTGTCAGCACTAAGAAAGACGGTTTCCCACAGGTCCTCCCTCATCAGCCATGCCCAAGGTTATAAGCTCAGGGGAGAAGCCCAATGGTACTTTTGCGGTGGCCTCATCCTGTAAAACAAATGATCAGAGTCCTAGAGGTCAGAGGCCGTGGTGGCCATGCCTGCCAGGCTTCCTAGTCTGTCCTGTCTCCAGAAAGCGGCAGCCCTTACGAAGAGACCTCTCAGGCCCTCCCTCTCCCCTGGGCCCGGTGGAGTTGATGGGACAGGAAGCCAGGGCAAGTGGGAGGGTGGGTCTAGCCCAGAGATGAGGTACAATGAAGCCTGTCCTTTCCCCCAGGGCCACAGACACATAGGTCATCCCCCCCCCACAGGAAGCCCCACCCAAGCACTGCTTTGGCCCACCCAAGCTTCCCGACTGAAGCGTCCCCTATTCCCGTGGGAGCCACCGCCGAGAATCCTACCCCTCTTGAGAAAGGAAGGACTGCCCTGGCCCTGACCTGCTCTGACTCCTCCCAGGCTGTCCCATGGGTAGAGTTGCTCAGCCTGCACCAGCCTTCACTCTGCATATGGATGCCTGCCTTCCTTCAGACAACCACCGACCTTCAGGCCCATGGTAGAAACCTCAGGGCAGGCCTGCAAACCAAAGGCCCAGATTCTTTTTTTTTTTTTTTTTTTTTTTTTTTTTTTTTTGAGACAGGGTTTCTCTGTATTGTTTTGGAGGCTGTCCTGGAACTCACTCTGTAGACCAAACTGGCCTCGAACTCACAGGGATCTGCCTGCCTTTGCCTCCCGAGTGCTGTGATTAAAGGCGTGCGCCACCAACGCCCGGCCAAGGTCTGGATTCTTCCTCCAGAATCTGCCACTGTTTTTTTTTTTTTTTTTTTTTTTTGGCAGTATAGTCCACTTGGGCAAAAGTCACTTGCCCGCTCTGGACCTTATCTATAAAAAGTCAGGGAGAGGTAGAGGCTCTGCCTAGCCTAAGCAGTCTGTGACATGAACCCCTGGCAGTGGGTGAATTTTATGATTTGTGAGGACAGCCAGACTGGGGTGGCCACTCACAAATGCCTCACGCATCCCCCAGGAGGGACCCTTCTCCCATCTCCCAGCCCGGCAGGTGGAACGTGTCTGAGCTCCGCCTTGCTCGGGCAGGTGCGTCAGGTCAGTGGATCCCTAGGTAGGAACCCTGGGGACGGGGGTGTTGCTCTGAGCCGGTCCTCTAACCCATTCTCCCTCCTGGCAGGTGCTCCCACAACTGGGACACCACCTCAAGCTGTGTGGCCACCATCCCAGCAGAGTTCAGTGTGTACACAGATGTCTGGTTCCAAGGGGACCAAGGAGAGAGTCAGGACTCCAAGGAAAGTGGGCTCAGGTTGTGACTTGGAAGGGTAAAGGGGAATGTGGGGGGAGGCACCTTGAGCTCACCTGCCAGTTGATGAACAATGGGGAAGCCCGTCACACAGGAGCCTCTCCTCCTCAGGATCCGCACTGGCCGCTAGGCCTTTGTCACTTGCTACTGTGTGTGTGTGTGGAGGTTGATGTCTGCAAGTCTGACCCAGGGGGACAGAGGGAGGAAGACACAGTGCCCCTGTAGTGCTTAGACTGAGGAGTCGTGGGTTCTTGGGAGGAAAAAATTGGCAGTGAGGAGCGTGGCTGTGTGTCCAGCGTGGGGCCCCTGTGTCACGAGAAGACAAATAACCTGAGTGGGAGCCAGCACCCGGGAGCCAGGCCAGCCTCCCCGTCCTGCGGACTAGAGCGGTTGTCCCAGGCTGACCCTATGCCCCTCACCTCTTCCCCTGGGTGTCTCCCTGTCCCACCTAGTTCTAGGTGGATCCCGTTGTTCCTTCCGCCCTCTGTGGCTCTCTTCTCCTCGTGGGAGGGACTCCGGGACAGCCCAGAGCTCTGGTAGTGGGGTGGAGTCAGGGGCTGGATGGTTATGAGTCAGGATTGCTGAGCTTCTGTGTCATCAGACGACATGCTGGGTTGTTTCTCCCTGCTGGCTGCCTCTTCTCTCCCACCCACGTATGTGGGCTGTTCCTCTGGAGGGGATCATGCTGTGGCCACAAAAGCTCAAAACAACCGAGGACAGAGAATCTGGGGGGGGGGGGCGGGATACTCAGGTCCAGGCCTCAGGATCCCGGAACCTGGAACGGTGCACTCCAACCCCGAGCTCCATTCCCAGTGCAGCGGAGGGACTGTGGGCAAGGGAGAGCTCTCAGCCCTGGCCTCAAGGGGAAACTCCAGACAGTTTTGAGTGGTAACTGCCTCAGACCAGAGAAATCAGGTCCTTGTTGTAGCCTGCAGCAGGCTGGACTGCTGTGGTTTGGGTGGCCCCTGGTGGCTACCTTCTCCGCTCTCCCCCGAGAACCCCTGGGAGGACAGACCCGTTGACTCAGTTCACAGAGCGTAGGGCCGGTGGCGTGAGTCCAGCTCTGCCACTTCCTGACCCCTAAGCACGCAGCCTCCAGGACCCGAGCCTCCTTTTCTTCATTTGTACAAAAGGGTGCTCTTGCTCATCTGACTGCTTTGGGGTGTATGCATGTGTTCATAGTGGGCTCACGTGTGTAAAAAGTGTACTGAGACCAAGACCTGAGTCAGAGGCAGTAAGCACCGCGTGAGGGTCACTGCCTGCCTCTTTAATCCGCGCAGAGCCCATAACTGTTCCTTTGCATCTAGCTAAGTCCCTGCCTTGCTCTGTCTGTGTTGCTATAAGAAACCACTTGAGACTAGAAAGTTTAGAAGGAATAGAAGTTTATTTGGCCCACAGTTCTGGAGTGTGGGGAGTCCAAGGGTATAGTGTTGGCATCTGCTGGCGGCCCTCCCAACATGGCAGACCAGAGCCATGTTGCATGGCAAGACTGAGCCCTTCTGTGAAGCCACTAATGCCATCATGAGGGCCCCACCCTTGTGCCCTCACTCAATCCTACATACCTT